TAATATTTGAGTAGTGTTCACGTTTACTGGTGTAAAGAATTTGCTCTTTGCTGCACTACTATTATATTATATTATCTATTACTACATTGTTATAATTATTATTCTCCTACTTGCTTCTGTCCCCCAGACTCTTATACACTCAGTGTGTATATCGATGGTGTTCATCGGCCCCTGGCCCCTACAGAGCTGGCCGTCAGTGTTAAGAAGAGCTGCCAACCTGGAGCCTGCAGCTTTGTCTATCACCCTATAGAACAAGTCAACAACCAGCCCGTCCGCAGCTGCCCCACTGACCCGCCCCCAGCTCCGCCTGAAGAGAGCTTTTTACCAGCTGACACAGCAGCTATCAATTCTGAGAAGCCAGAGGTGGAAGAGGAGAGTCTGATTAGCTTGTAACTGCTCCAGCATCACAGTGCTACTGTAGTACTGCATCAACAAAGTACTGATTCAAAAGAAGAGGGGAACAACATTTAGGACAGTGTTTCTCACTCAGGTCTCACTTGAAATATTGACCTACTTGAGACTTAAATGAAAAGAATATAAAACTGGTGTGGATTAGAGCATGCAGTATATCACAAAATACTATGATGTGATGAAATATGTTGAATGACTCCTTTCTTTTGAATATATTTTTTATGGGCTAAAGTCTCTGACGCCACATGTTCCAGCATTACTAAAGAGAGCAGTGGCCAACTAAAATGAGACAACAAAGAGTTACAAGACTGATTCTGTATCTCCACCTGGGGCTGGAACCCCAGGCACCACAGGGGGATATGGTTTTATAGAATGTAAAAATACACGTAATTCTAACATGTACAAATATGATCATGTTTATACTGTTTATACTATATGTTTTATGATGCTTGACGCTACGCCCGCTGATGCTCAAGGCTTCTGCTTCAAACAGAACACGTTTTATTTGCTTTTTTTTTTATTTAAAGCACAGGTATGATAGAAGCTATATGGACCAAAACCTTCATTTTCATTCCAAAATCTCAAGTAAGCATCAAGATTGTTGTTTTGTTGTCCTGGGTTTGCTGCATGTCATCCCCCCTCTCTCTCCCCCTGCCTTTCCTGTCTCTCTCTATTGTGTCTATTAAAGAAAGCAGAAAGGCTAAAAGGATAATCTACAAAAAGAAGTTTCATTTCGCATTTTTCTTCCATAAACTGATACTGACTGTATTGTAAATAAACTGCCTTTTACAGTTTACAACAAAAAACAACATATTAAGTTTTAACGTATAACAAACATTTTAAAACTGCATTATTACCAAAAGATCATTTTTCACTACCTGGCAACCACATATGTGTTCTTATAATGGCTAGCAACAGCTCTGTAAAGTTTTTGTAAATTATGTATTAACCCTTAATAAAGTCAGCTGTTCAGCTGAGTCAGTGAACTCTTTTAAGTCCCTTCTTAAAACATACTTTTATAGGAGAGTCTTTACCAATCTTATTTGATTTGATTTGTATTTTAGTCTCTTAAGTGTTTTCTTGTCTTTACCATGTAATTGTTTTGTGTTTTATTGTTTTTACACTTGTTAAAGCACTTTGTAACTTGTTTTTGAAAAGTGCTCCACAAATAAAGATTTTTATTATAATTATTAAATGGAGAAAAGATCTTTCATCTACAAAGGACACTTTTGTCTAGACTCATTACTTCCTCCAATTTACTGGAAAGAAATGTAATAATTACAGGTCCTAAATGCTCAATTACCTGAAATTGAATGAGAAATAATACTGGCTGTGTATGTTATAAGAAGAATGTGTATTCATATATTCTCTCTCTGTTTACCATTCAACTTTTAGGACATGAATGATGGAAGGTCTCTATGGTGTCTTTAAGTAAAAAGAATGACAAGGAAACCATATCCATTGGCTTTGGTGATATTCAGGAAAGTGATTGTACATACCCATGACTATTTATGTTTTTCAGGTCACATTCCACTGTAGTCTGGAGAGCAGAGAATTAGTATTATGCTTCTGTAAAGTAACACATAAACATCGGTGAGAACCCAAACAGTTATGCTATGGGTTATGGGCAATTGTGTAGACCCTCTCGTCAGTAGTTGGTTTTAAAATGAGGAAGAAAAAAACATAAATGTTATGCAAGTTGTATGTGCATGTATTAAAACAAATGTCAGAATGAGCTCCTTGCACATAAACAGTTCTTCCTCCAGCTCTCTTTGTTCATTTTTCACAAACATGAATACCTAAAAAGAGAGACTCCAGGAAAGCGTGCGCCCTGAACACTATTTATACAATTCATTGCATTGAGGATACAAAGGCACACAGAAAGCAAATTTTTCACCCCCAGCCTTAAGTGGTGCTATATTCTAAACAGTTTTGCCCTTACTGTATATGTGGTGCATACTACACACCTAACTCCCTGATAAAAACAGAGTTTTACTCAAAAGCTTCTTTCTGTTAGCTATCTGCTCTGCACTGCAAAGGACAGCAATTAACAGTATTAGTGAATAATGCTTATGCCAGGGGTGTCGAGCTTTAACATCAAATTTGTTCAAAAGCCACCAAACAACATGATTCACTCAAATTTCTGCCGAATTTGATCATTGGTTTAATCAGTGGTTGGAAATCACCAGCTGATGAATAGAGAAACAATTCAGTGATGATGGCACAGATGGGAGCTGACGGTGTTTCTGATGAGAATATAGGTAGTGTGAGGTGACTCAAGTTTTGTGTCTGAAGCTTGTTATCCTCTGAAACATCATTGTGTTGCAGAGCCATTGTTAAGGAAAGCTGCTTCCTGTCCGCAGGTCATTATTTCCAACAAGGTCCATAATGAGGTCCTTAAATGGTAACCAGCTTCCTGTATGCTAACAAACTGCAGAATCTCCACCACTTCAGCTTTTGTCTTGTTTCCAGCCTTTCTCAATACTGACATACTAACAAGGTGTCTCTGCCGTAGTAATGGCTGAGAGTGTAGTGTTCACCTTTTTAAACTGATTTGTCCAGGAAATATTTACCATGCAGCACCGCCCCTACTACAGAGTATCGGATTTAAGAATGCCTTTAGTTTACAGATGTGTTGGCGTGCTTGTGAAATTAAGCTCAGATGATGGAATTGTTCATTATTTTTATTTTCATTGCTGTGTCTCCTAGATCTATGCAATAAATACATTTGTAGGATGACGTCCAGATCTATTTAAATCTGCGTTAGTTATTCTTTGTTATAAATCCCTCATCTTAGACATATTATTAAGACGTAGGCTAGTAGCCTGTGCTCATATTCCTGCAGGTGGAAAAAACAACTGCGCCAATCAGACCTTTGTAGTTGCAATTAAAAATGCAGTAGAAAAACTGCCATGAAAGTGACAACAAGCATGGATGAAGATGGTATCACAGCCTCTGTGTGGACAGATAATAATGTTTATGGGATGGATAATTTATTCACTACTGATGAATGGTTGGGATAAAATAACTTGAGAAATTGATGGCACTACTTTGGATCAGTATGCTGGTCGGTCACAGTGTGATTACTAACTACCATGGAGAATTTAGTTACCAAATATCAAATACAGTCAAACTTAGTAAGGTCATTTCAAATATTGCTTTGAGTGTAGCTGTGTACATCTGTAGTGGAACAGTATACAGTATGCTCTCATAGAATATTTGAAAATATGAACTGAAAAAAACTGACTATGGCATCTCCTCATACATTTGAAGTATTTCTGTTAAATGGACCTCGAATGTTAAACATGGATTTAACAGCCCAAAAGGTAAACTTGATTTACCAGAATTTTTGAATTGTTATGTTTTAATCATACATTATTACTTGCTGGTTGTTTCTACAAAAGAAGCATGTTACATACAGTAGATCTGCCATTTAGTTTAATACATACCATAAAGTTGTAGCCCTTCATGCTACACTGATTACCGACTACCCAACCCTACCGCAGCAGGCAGCAGTTTTCAGTGAAAACCAACTGTGCACTACATGCCCAGCAGCAAATGGCAGATAAAGACTGTTAGCAACTAGCTAGCATAGCATTTAGCAGCTAAGGAGCCAGATATTTCTCTCAGGAGTTGGTGAAGACCAAAACAGAGCTAAAAGGAGAGTGAATAATGGATTTACAGTAGGTTCACTTAGGGGTGTACTCACTTTTGTTGCCAGCGGTTTAGACATCAATGGTTGTGCAATGTGTTATTTTGAGGGGACAGCAGATTTACACTGTTATACAAGCTGTACACTCACGACTTTACATTGTAGCAAAGTGTCATTTCTTCAGTGCTGTCACATGAAAAGATATAATCAAATATTTACAAAAATGTGAGGGGTGTACTCACTTTTGTGAGATACTGTATATATTTCTGCATAGACAAATTGAGACAGTAATGCCTTTGTCTTGGAGAGAAACAACCTGTGTTCGGTTGGCACGTATACACACACAAGCACTATAACGATTTTCAGTAATAAGATGGTGGGCTCTCCACAACAGCGCCATGACTAAGAGTCTTTGAAACAGGACACTAACAAGCTAACAGCACTTCCACTAGGGCTGTCCTCTTGTACGTTAAAGTCAAAGTTGGTTTCATCTAGAGAAGGGTGTGTATGCTTGTTTATATGTGTGGGTGGGTTATGGAAGTCAGGGAGGGGTTAAAGCACTCCATTCCACGATATATAAGTATGTATGACGAGAAACTGTTTTCATCCACCACAGACCTGCAGAAATCCACTTGCAGAAGCAGTCAGCAGTGGAAACACAAAATAGCACGAGTGGAAATCCAAGTTTTTATCCAAACTTCTTTGTATTTAAATTACATGGTAGATAGTAAGCAGCAACAAACAGAAGGTACCTGGCTGCACAAAGTCGTTTCTGTTGCTGTGGTTAGTGGTTTGCCCTGGAACATTTATCTGCTTGTGTGACGTCTGACCCTTAACCTCTGAAGTCCAACCTTGAGAGTCTGCTCGCTCGTACAGACAGAGCAACACCACTGAGAAGCAGGTAAGAAATGAGCCAACAACCAGTATAGTAACTTTAAAAAGTCCCATAACCAATAACCTTTGCATGAAGCTAATGTTAAAGTTAATCTATTAATATTTTCAGTGGTTTAAGAATGCATTCACAGGAAATCTATTTGTTTTTGAAGAATTAGAAAATAGCGTCTCATTAATTGCATCCATGTTGATGAACCACATACTAAACTTCAAAACAGAAGCGCACTGTTTTGGAGTGCAATCTTTTTATATTTTGCTGGTTATGTATTTGTCTTGTTAAAAATGTCAACAAATGACAAAAGAACACTCTTTGGCTGTCTGGAATATACATGCACAGTCTAAAATGGCTCTTTACAGCAGAGGCGACTTCAGGGTGCCTCAAACATTTGAATTCAGCATCTTTTAAGTTGACAGGTCAATTTCAGTACATCCTCTATTTTCAAAACCTTGGAGAGAGCTCCAAGTGAATTACATAGAAATGATTAAATATTCTAAGCTCATTTTATTTCATTTAAAATATAATGTTTCTCAACTCAAAGGTTGAGAAATTGCTTATTTTCTGCATTACACAGAACCTTGACAAAAGTGAAACAAGCCTAAGAAAAATAATGTAAAGAATCCTCTTTGTACATGCTGGTATAAATAAATGTAACAATAAGGTACACGATGTGAGTTTTTTGTATTTTTTTTTCTTCATAAACATCTCTTTGATTTTTATTAATAAAAGCTGAATTAAGCTTCTATTTCCATTGTTTTATTGTTAACTAGTTTGAAGAATATAAACACACAACTCAGTTAATATGTACTTATTGTCAAGGAAGCATCTTGTATTTCTTAGGATGCCTGAGCTGCCTGCTTTCCCCCGCATGTCCTTCCTGTTGCTTTGCATTCTGGGTATGACCTTGGTGACATCTGGCTTCCCTCAGCCTCGACTACCGCTCAGGTGTGGTTACTCACTAAATCTCATCAAGGCACCATAAACTATGAGTGTTAATGGTTCAATGGTTTTGAGTAAATAAGTACCCAAAGTAACAGACCAATCAACTAACTAGTACCTCTGATACCTAACTTTATTTTCTCCTAGAGTATTTCGTATGTATTCGTGATTACAAAAAATCATTCAGTTAAATCTTCTCTGATTTCAGAAGTCCTGATGATTCAGATGAACCTAAACAAGATGTCTGGGACGTCCTCTTCCCCTCAATCTCTCTTCGTGATTGGAGCATTCAAATGATGTCAGCGCCCAGCCTTGCAGCAGCAACCGACAGCAAGGCAGGACTGATGAGGGAGGCGTGGCTGTTTGCCCCAGAGAGGGCTGAGGCGAGGTAACTGCATCGTGCGGGAAAATGCTTATGGATTCACACCTAAGGGTCCAGTTTCTGAATCGAACCCACGCAGGGATGACACATTGTTTAAATTTTCCAACTGGTCCAGTTTGTTCGCAAAGGCCAGTGGTGGAAATGGCGTTTGATTATTGGTCAAACAGTCAACGGGTTTAAGATGATGTAATGTTGAGACAGTTTTTTGACAATGCTCAACAGTTTGCTGGAATCCATTCTACATTTTATATATATACATATACACACACACACACACACACACACACACACACACACACACACACACACACACACACACACACACACACACACACATACATACACACACTGAGGTATTATATATAAATGTAATATATTTACATATTGAATACCTCAATATGTAAATATATGTATTACAATTACATATATTACAATTACATATATTACAATTACATATATTACAATGTTCTTATGCACCTTCTCTATTAACTCATAAACATTCTCTACAGCCCAAATATTCAGCAGGAGGCATCCCACTTCGTCGTGAGTCCAGGTTTGTCCCGGACTACTCGACAATTTGTAAGCAAACGCACTACTAGTCAACAGTCACCAAAACAGCATAAGAAAAAAAATGTAGTCAATCAAATGACACATATAATATTACACTTCCCATTATTGGTTTGAATGGTGATAATACCAGAAATAAACCGCTCCAGAGTTCACTCGTTGGTTGGTCTGCAGCAGAGTTCGAATCTGGCGTTCGCACTAACCCAAACTAACAGCACCAAGGGAATAAACGCCCAAGGTTTTGGTTCCACCGTCTATTTTCTCTTAAATGGCACCATAACTTACTAAATGAAAATCATGCTGTATTGAAGAAGACTGGAAACTAATAAACTCATTAGGAAATTGTTTACTGAGGGAGTGAATCAGTTGAGAAGTAGGGTCATTGTGCCATTATTGTGTCATTGTGCATTTATTTCGGAACGGAACTGGACTTTTTGCAACCAGAGGAGTCGCCCATGCAGATCGCAGGTTTAAGTTACTTCCACATGGCTTCAATTTTCAGACCCAACAGGTTCACGCTTGGTCTGAACACTCAGTTTTAGATTGTGTCTCTTTAAGCACCCCGTTTCTAAAAGCCCACTTTCTTCTGAATGGCCAATTTCATTAAGGTCTGCAGAGGGGCAAGACCTAGCTGGTACAGCACAGCATCGATGTCTGGAGATAGGGCTGACTACGTGAGATTAGGCCTCACTGATTACAGTACAAAAACACAACTTTATTCAACTGTTTAGGTGAAATAGGGTCATATTTTATGGAGAAAATATTTTCCGGTTTCCCCTCTGATGTCGAACTTTAGGAGATTTACAGAGTTTGTTTGTTAGCAGTTAGTCTAGCCGCTAACTACTACTAATGGTAGTTAGTTAGCTAGTTAGTTCAATTAGCCGTTTTGCTCACTCTGCCCGGACTGGGTGTGTTGGTGTTTGCACCTCTAATATTAGTGCAGAAGCTTTGGAGCACTGGAAGAGGGGAAGAGCCAGCTGATTACATCAATTACAGTTAGCAGTAGTTAGTGGTTACTGTAGCATTAGCAACAAGCTATCTGTCCATAAGGAAACACCAGCAGCCAGAGGGAAAACCAGAAAATACATACCTTTCCTTCCTAACCGTAAAAGCACTTTCTGTGAGACCTACTGAACAACCTCCAGCTCTTGCTCTGCAATGGCATGTCAGCTTTGTGTGGTGTCTTCAGTAGGTATTCAGTGGGCGGGGCCATCTACTGGCTGAAGGGCTGGAGGAGGTCTTATGTTATCCAGATCCCTCCATGACAAAATTAGAGCCAAATCCAAACGCCATCTTTGCCCACACATTTACCGAAAGACTGAGCAAGAGAAAAAGGAGAGAGGATGTTTTTCTCTCATAGTTTGGGAATCTTTAGACACACAGACGCCTATTTATGTTGAAATATATGAAAACGTGGATTTTGTATACTATAGCAACTTTTAATTGTTTGTGGCAAAACCATATTTTCTTATTTTTTATTCCTTTAATCCTTTGCAACCTTTGGGGGGGGGGGGGGCACAGCAAAGGAGGGGACCACACTATGTGTAAATTAGAAAATGTGTATTTTTGTAATTTGGGTGAACTGGCTATTTAAAGAAATAGTCACTTGACCTTGTTGAGAGTTGGATGAGAAAATTCATGCTACTCTCTGAGTAGAAAGGCAAAAAGCGTAATCCCCATAATATCAAACTATATCTTTAAACAGGAAGTCTAAGAGGAAATTTTGGGCTTTAGGGTGCTATGGGAGCCTCAACAAAATCAAGCAGTGCATCTTAAAGTAAAGCCTACATTTCACGTCTCACATTCAGTAAAACAAACAAACAAAACCAATAAAAACCCACCAGCAAAATATTAATATGAATGTGGAGCATCTGGTACCTGACTTGTTTGCTAGTTACTGATATTGAGGTCTTGGTTTGTGTATCTCTAGTGTGGAGAGGGCGTGGCCAGCTGAATGGTCACCTCAGGGTGCTGACATGGTGAAGAGGAACATGGTAGTGGCTGATGACGCTGCCTTCAGAGAGAAGAGTAAACTCCTCACCTCCATGGAGAGACAGAAGTGGCTCAACTCCTACATGCAGAAACTACTGGTGGTTAATTCTTCATGATGATTTCATTTTTACAGCTATTTTATCATGTAATCAAACCATTCTCTGCACCCTGCACTAGCAAAAAGCATTTTAAAGGGATATCCTACTCTGGAGAACAAGATAGTGTAGTTATCAAAAGTCAGTAACACCTGCTGTATTTTTAATATCTAGCCTCTCAAATTTCCCCAAAGGATGGTTAAATTTATCAAAAATTTGGTATTGAACATTGAAATGTGTTTGTTGGTCCTGCTGAAATTAATTTGGTGATGGAAATTATGTTTTTGACAACTGTAGCATGTGTTTGACTCTATATAGTAGTATTGGTTTATGACAGCTGAATTTAATATTATTAGTCTAATAACCAAAATAATTTTAATCATCTGTCTATATATTTAACGTAGTTTAACGTTAGCCAAAAGCAGGATGCAAGTCTTTGTGTTGGTTAGATAAATAGCTGTAAAGGTCCATTTCCACATTTTACAGATACATTTAGATATATCTAGCTTTCAAGTAATTTACATTACATTAGCAGTTTCAAATGTTGTACAATATGCTTGTTTCTCTTTCTTTCCAAGAGTGAGATGAGAAGGTACCAATCTCACACCTGTGTGTTAAGTACTAAGCTGGAGTCAGGATGTGGTTAGCCTAGCTTAGCATCATAACTTAAAGCAGGGGGGAAAGCTAACCTTGTCTCTGTTTAAAGTTCAGAAATCTGCCTACCCACACCCTTGAAGTTCACTTATTATGTTAATTCTTGTTGGTTTAAACTGTACCAAAAGCTGTACTCTCCAGTTGTATCTGGAAACCAGCACTATAACTAGCTATATTAAACCTGTGCAGGTGGACACACATAATTATATTTATGTTTTTAATTTATTATTTACCGTTACTGTGTGTATGGATTAAATTGTTTTTTGTAGACAGGTTTCCCCCTGCTAACAGTCTTGTCCCCAGCAACCTACCCAACGCAACAAGTGTATTTCCCTAAATGTTGTATGTATTCTTTTTTCTTTCCTCTATAAAATGTGTTGTTTAACACTCATACACATTCTGAGGACACAGGACTATTTACTCCACAATGTCTCAATATCTACAGTGACTTTGACTGCTGACCTTGTTCATTTTAGCTGGAACGTCTGTGATGTAGGAATTTAATTCCATTCTGTTACATTCACTGCAAGTCATTTTGTGAACTAGATAAATGTCTAAAATATATATTTTTTAATTTGTAAACATTTACGACAGCTTGCATACATATTATTAGGAATTATTTATTTGCTTTATGTTTAGGTTTTCAGATTTATCAGGTGTCTATTGTCTCATCTGTTTTTTAAGTTAGTAACATTACAAAATGACATATAAACGTAATTATCATTTTCAGCTACAACAAACTGAAGTTGTTGAAAGATGATTTCTTTGAAAACTGCAAGAAAATAGCTGGTTTCCATCCAAATGTCAAGTGAATTTTTGGCAAATTAAAAAATGAAAACTGATATTTTGTTGATTTCTTTTCCATCACACTCATCCCATGCTGACTGAGGATAAAAAAAAATCTATGGTGGTATCAACACCAGTTGGTCCAGTTTGCCAACCATCTCCTGCAGCTGCATCCTACTGGCCAGCCTCTGCCTGTCCCTCCTCTCCAGCAGAAGAGCCTCTGTTTGAAGAAGCAGCTGCTCAGCCTGAGATGCTGGGAGCTCACCTGGAGCCTCGGCCCCGCTGTGGTGGCCCCCTGCTGGGTCGCTGATGTTTCTGACTGGCCTCTCAGTCAGGAGCCTGGCTCGGTAGACCTGGGTGAGGGAGGGCATGGAGGGGAGAGAGGAGAGAAGAGGAGGGAGGGAGGAGGTGTCCGATCCACCCTGCAACTTCTTTACTCTTCTTCCTCTATCCTCTGCATCGCTGTTGCCTCTGCTCTGTCCTTTCTGCTAAAAGATTAAAGGGATTTAGACAGGAACATACAGCAGGAGCACACAAATATCATTACAAACAAGAATAACACTACAGTCAATGTATTACAAAATGTGATACGGAGGCAGAAGTGTTTAAAAGTGGGCTGGGCATCAAAGCTCAATTTCTGTCCTTCAGATTCAAGCCCTCGCCAAACAAGTTCCCACAATTCTGATTACACCTATCACCGCCAGGTAAATCTCTCTGTATACGCAGTGTACAGGAATTTTTAAATCTGCTGTCTGCGGTGGCATTCATACATTGGCACAGCGGTAATGATCATCAAACAGCAATGATTGGTCTGCCAGAGCTGAAGGGGATCCACGATCCGCCACTGCTGTACAAATGGTCAACTGGAGAGAATGTTTATTATTGAGAATTGTTTATTTTGTTTAATAATTGTTAATGTGCTTAGGCAACATTGTATTGTATGCAGTCATGGCAATAACTTGAATTTAAATTGAACTTCTATGACACAATCCTCTCTACATGGCTCTGGGGCAACCATAGTGATGGAGTTGGCTGGTGGCTGAGCCTGTGGCTGAAAAAGAGGCATCAAAGAAACATTTCTGATGCTCCAGATAAAAAAGAAACCTGGCATTCAGAAGAAGTATTACAGTTACGTGGTACTGCTCTTGGATAGGTTGTTATTTGTAAAATATTTGGAGTAGGCTGTGTAGCTGTTACATTAACTCATCATGGGCAGACATGCACAGCGTTAACTGTCACCGCCAAGTTCCACACTGCAGGTTTAAAAGCGAATATGACTCAGTACATGACGCTGTTTTTTTTCCCCATACACCTTCATTTTCAGCAACTTCAACAACCTAATTTCTGTCTGAAGTCTGAAGTCTGACCAAAACCAGTAGGCAGTGCCCTGTAGGAGTGAACACCTTTTGTGTATATTGTGTATTGTGTGTTGCACACCTGTCCTGTGGGCAGTCTCAATAACATGTCCTCCAATTTCTCTAGCCCCCGGTTTCCGTGGTGACACACTCTTCCGCTGCCATTGGGTGCATGTGTAGGCTCCTCGACAACAGGATCAGTCAGATGGCAGTCCACCACACTGTCCTACACATACACATACACACACGTGCTTTGTGTTACATTTTCTGGCACACGTGGCTGCTGCCATCTTGGAGATCACAGAGAGGAGAATTTAGCAAATGTGTTGGCTGGTAGCAATAACAAATAAATAAATAATACACCAGTATCCAAATCCAGTCACCTGTTCTCTTTGGTGTGGATTTGCACATTTACTCTTTCAATGTTACATTATTGTTATTATTACTATATCTTACTAGAATTATTAACCATAATGTTGGAAATTACTTCTGTGTTGAATTGTGCTGTTGTTTTCCTGTGTGTTGTTATGTCTAACTCACCATCCAGGTCCAGAAGACTTTCTCCACCTGTTTCCAGTTCAGATATCCTTCTAGGATGTCACAGAGATGCCGCGTACGAACACAGTCCTATAACACACACACACAACCACACACTATAGTTTTAAATACACCCCAAAGCACATTGTGTTACAGTATAAAGATGTACTCACCGATGGATCATTAACACAACTCTTTTCCATGGACAAAGCTCACTGAATTAACTGTTCAATACTGAATTCTTAAACAAAGTACGCTATAGCGTCCAACTTCACTATTATGATATTGCTACACACTGCTTTTCTTTTCACATAGAACATGTTTCCAAAACCATTACAGCCAAACCCTTGGTAATAAAGTTTCAAATAGACAATCAAGAACACGACACACAAAACTATTTTCTTAACATTTACAAAACCAAAATTATTAGTAAAAGATAAATAAGATAAAAAAAATTAGCACTCATGAAAAAGGGAGTTGTAAACAAATTGTTTTGTTATTTAACTATAACTATTCTATAACAATGAGCAGAGCATAATATTAGCAATACATTTTAATAGCAGCACAAACAGCCTTACCTCCCTTAGCACTGTTGATGTTTGATCAGAAGACACAGAGGAGGGGAGGCTGGCAAAAAAAACCTGACAAAAATATAGATTTCTTGGTTAGACATGATTATAACCTATTCCAATAAAAAAAAATCAGTTCCTTGCATTTAGTATTTTATAAGCATTTGCTGATTTTCTGCAGAAAAGCTACTTGTGTACTTTGGCTACTGTTTGGAAAAGTGACTTCTGTCATTTGCAGTCATCCTGCAATTATGCTGGCAAACTTCTAATCTGTTGAACTTTCCCTTTGCAACGACTGACAGATACAGAACGGTAGCCTGGGGAAAGATGGAAAAGAGAAGATTCTCTCACAGCATGGAGCAAACGAGCCCGCTCTTCTTGCATAGACTGCAGGGTCCGCCCCTGGTATCTCAGACAGCCAATGAGCCACTGAAGTTTCCTCAGAGATCCCGAGTCTAACTGGAACTCATTGGAAAACTGAGGGTCCTACCAAAGAGAGAGAGAGAAAGATTTAAAAGCACACAAATACAAATATACAAAAACAGAATTAAGTTTACCAGTATGATGTGGTGGTACACCCGAGGGACTTACAGGTGTAGGTGTGAGTAGTGTTTTGTCCAGTTGCTGTACTTGCTGTGTCAGAAGTTTCTCCAGTGTTCCTGTAGCGAGCAGCCAGCCCAGCGCCAGGAGGAGGTGTCTGCTGGAAAATCTCCCTCCTTCTCCTTCCTCCCTCCCATACATCCAGTCAGCATGGTAGCCAGTCTGCCAGAGGCCTGCAACCACCAGTTTCCTGTGCTCTGAGGTTATTTACAGACGGAAAAAACACATTCAGTCACCCAGCACGTCCACTTACCTGCAAGGAGCAGCACATCTGTGATTTTGTTCTATTTACTGCTTCTCAGGAAGGTAATCAATGGAACTGGATAAGGTTATTAAAGTGGGTGCATGATCATACAGATGTTTTTATACGTTCGCAGAACCCTTGGTAGCGTCTGTCGTTACGAACCCATGTTGTGTGGACAAGCCTTTCACAAACCAAAGATATGTAGCACAAACATATAAAAGCATACTTACTACAAGGGCTGGGCGATATGGCCAAAATGTTATCACGCTACACACATTTCATAGCATTCGATATCGATAATTATCACAATATACATCAAATCATTATTTCTCTCAGGTTTAAAGGCTGATTTTTGCTCCTGAGTGAAAATTGAAGAAACCAGATGGTTAATTATGTGGTTAAACTTTTCTTTATGGTCAGAACGTTACAAACACTTGATGCCAAACAGTGGATCACTTCACAGATCTGAGGGACAACATTCAAAACAACTTTGATAAAATCTTTTTTAACAATATGATTAGTAAATCTTTTATCAGTCCCTTTTTTTAACAAAATAAATATTTTAATAGAAAACTAACTAAAAGTGCTAATTTGTTTGTGATTCAAATGAATTAAACCAAATATTTACTGACGATATATTGAACATTTATTATATTGTTATTGAGGAAAATTATATTGCGATAATTATCATTATTGTTTTATTGCCCAGCCCTACATATAACTGTCAATGAATGAGATGGGTAATTTTGCATGGACAATGTGCCATTGTCTTTTTTGGGTGATGTACCAATTTCAGACTTTACTGTGATGTGTAAAGAAGAAAAGAGTTAGTTCACAGCACAATCTAGAAAATATCCAGCCGATCTGATGGTGCAGTCAGGGTAGGGACTGTTTAGTGATTTTATGCAGAATCACATCATGGGGATGTCATTTTATGAAATTCTGCTGTACAAATGAATGACTCTGAGAAAACTGTAATTTAAAATGTATAAAATGTGTTTTGTAATGGGATGTTCTCAAATCATTCAAAAAGGGGAAGTCCTGAACAAACGGTCGTAAAATCCATTAACACATCTGGAAAACAAAACAGACAATGTGACTGACCTAACGTTACTGGCTGTGCACCAGCTTCACAGGAAACAACACCAGCTGCCTGAAGGATGTTGGTGAGCAGCTGCCAAAACTGATCCTCCTGTAAAAAAAAAAATCAAGAAACTAGTAACTAAGGTTGTCCAATAACTGAAGTAACATAAAACGTAGATTACTTCCCTCGGACCTGCAGAAATGTACTTAAGTACGGACCTCGAGTAAATATAGTAGATAGACTGTATGAAAAACATTTACATTTAGTTAGGTCCCATCCCTGACAGTGACAACCGATAATCAACGTACCACCTCGAGACCACCACCGAATTTAGCCCGCCTGAAGGTCTCCGGTGCGGGCACAGCTTCCACGCCGAGGGCCGCCAGCAGTCTGCACAAAGCTCCAATCACCTGCTTCACCTCCACACTCACTGCCGCTTTAGTCCGCTGCATTCCAGCCACCGCACACTACACGCATATCACCAACCTTGCTATCCTCTCAGCTATCACACTTAGTCCAGTAGAGACACTTTTAAATTCTGAAAGACATTTCCAATAACATTTCTACCGCTTTGAAGTTGAGCAGTTGATACTTCGCGGCGAAGAAACAACTTCCGGGTACGAGGCCGTTGCCAAGGAAGCGAATGGAGGTTGTGATTGATATCTTAGTTGGCCAATTACAAATGTGATTCTAAAAGAGGTAGGTCAAACTTACTTTTCATTGGTGCGCTTGGTGAAGTGTTTTTATGTATATTTATGTAAATTACATATTATTATTCACATACGCTGTAGGAAAATATTATTTCTTAAACTTTCTGTTTAATAGGGGCAAATCCTGGAGAAGAAATATGCCAATTACACGGCCTTAAGTAAGCTCTTGGTTTGAATTACAAAATCCAGTCCTGTTTTTAATTAATTACCATTATATGAAAGTGACAAGGTTCAGCTTATAACTTCAATTGTATTTATTTAAACTATTAAAATAATTTAAAAACCATAAACATCTTACACTTGTATACACAAACATGCTTAAAATGATTAAAAACATGAAAATAATTTTACACAGACACTGGTCTGGACATGCTACACGCATTAACCTTAGTATCACATCGGAAAGAACAGGAACAATGTGGAAATGTGCAGATCCAAAATGAACCTACAACTGACAGTACACTACATGACCTCAGTATTATATAGTCAGGAAGAACTCAGACAACACAGTACCAAACAAAGCTGTGGACGTGTATTTGGTCATGTACGTTTTCACTCTCAGCTATGTTGACTCCACAGTCCTGCCCAAAGGCTGCTGCAATGTAGCAAGCAATGGTCCCTTCATGCCACATAAGAAGTACAGTACATACTAACTTTCTAACTACCTGAGAAGTCTGTGGCTGGCAATAGGCCCTGATTTCAGTGAATTCCTGAATTCCGATAATAACTAGGAAAAGCGGTATGCTGTTAAGTACCACGGCAAGATGCAACTGTTTGCTGGACTTTTCATTTATGGTTGACACTAAAATGTATCACTCCAAATCACTTTTTCTAACCACTAAGTGTTCCACTTCCTAGTCCAATGTGATATAAATGTGGCATAACACATCTACTCTTTAGCTTTATTTGGCCAGCTCTACATGGTGATGTTATGGTGGGAGGGACAGTGTTAGGTATTTACAGCCAACTCCTTTTAGGCTAGAGAAGGTCCAGGGACATGGACCTAATAATATTACCTGATCAACATCTGGTCCGCACAAATTGTTCTGCTCAATTTTGTGTGTGTGTGTGTGTGTGTGTGTGTGTGTGCGTACTACACTGTGCTTTAGGTCTTGCTAGAAGAACATAGAGAGGCATAGACATCAAGGGCACTCTATGATAAAATTGTAAAGTTTGTGTTTTTGGCCCACAAATGGTATGGTACCACCAATTTCCACAGTAAATTTTTAGTTAACAAGAACATTACAATTAGTTTCAATATCCTTCATAGTTTGACAGTAAAAAAAACATAATGCTGTAAATAGCATTAGGAAATATGAAATCATGTAGTTTCACCTACAGCATAAGCTCTCATCAAAACATCTTCCTGGTTCCAAACCCACAAGACTTGCTGTAAGTATTGCAAATTTTCCCTTTTTGTTTTGCTCGACATTTTTTAACATATATAAATTCTGTGTATTTGTTGGTTATTTTGTGCTTGTCGATCTCCAGCAAAGTCTATGCTGTTGTAAAAAATTGTTTTATATAAAGAAATGCATCATAACAAACCATTCGAAACTTAAAAAAGGGAAGACTCTTAGGGAAAAGAGTAGTTTTGCAGATAGTCGTGCTTCTCAGCTCTCTCCATCTCCCTCATCCTCTACCTGTTTGATGACTGGGATTCCTGGAAACAACAGGAAAAGAAATCACCAATCAGACATTCCCAGCAACAAATTGTTGCTAATATGTGCATTGACAATGTAAAAGTTAGTTGTTGTTTTGTATGGTTTCTCCTATTTATTTCACTGATGTTCCAGCCATTTTGGTAAAACTTACAGTCCATAATTACCTCATCATTTTCCTAGATAATAGTGGGCATGTGTTTTAAAAAATTGTCTATTTAAGTAAATATGTTTCATTATTCATTTAATTTACTTTGATATGTTACATTTATTTGTCAAGGGCCATATTGACCAAACATCAATCTCATTCGAGGAGAAAAGATGCATTGTTCCAGATTTAGATACCAGTTCATCTCCATCTGCAATCTCCCTTATTGGATTTAAACTTTTTATGTAATGTATTTGTTGAACTATATGTTTTGCTGTAGACAAATTTTACAATTTTCTCAGTTGACTTACTAAGAGGCTCTGGCAATTAATTTGATATAAATTAGAATGTACTGGAAATTATGCAGAAATTACAGACCGGTAAATTTCTTTCAACATAACATGTAATCATATGGGAATAGCAAGTTCACTTGTTAAAGGATGACAATAGCTGTAGAAATGCTGAATAACAGCAGACATTCTTAAACACACTGCTGCTAAAACACACTTACCATCTAGTTTCTTCAGATTAGGTAGTCTTTTAGAGGCTTCATCCATCCAGTTTGCCTCAGCTGAATGCTTCTCCTCCAGAGGATTTCCAACAAACACCAGGTCTGCAAGGCATGGCAGTTCAGCTAGCCTCACAAACTCTCCTACACAACACAGAAAAGACACCATTAACCAAATTAAATGGTGCCACATTGAGAATTTTAACACTAATAATTCTATAGCTTTACCCTCAACTAAAGGGACTGTTGCTGAGTAATCACAACATAGTCATTTCCAACCTAATTAGCTGTGTCTATTTCAATTGTAATATGTGTTGACTATGTTTATGAATGTAGCTTACCCCATTCTTTGACCAGATTGTTCGACATGTAGAGGACTCTCAGTTTCTTCATGCATTGGATTCCCTTCAGTTTCTCTATCAAGTTATAAGAAATCCACAACTCCTCTAAATTGTCCCCTACTGCCTCCTGTCCGCGTTCACACACATACACACACACAAAAAGAAAGAAAAAAAGGCAGAAATCAAGAAAGAAGAAAAAAAAAAGGACAATGCTAAAACACTGATTGCAATCAAAGTAGTTTGTGTTAATTCTGTTTCATTTGTAACTTACCAGCCCAGTGAGGGCCTTTATATTATTTCTTCCTAATGACAATATCCTCAAGTTCTCTGGAAGGACACAGTACAACATCACATAACAACACCACATCTCCATTCGTAAGTGTGTTTGTGCGTGGTTGTATGTATTTATGCAGTCAGTACTCACTCAGGCCATTGAGATTTGTTATTTTCTCAATGCAGTTTGTAGACAGAGACAGCTTCCTGTGGAGGATACAGTATGACAACGTATCTGGTATTTGAAGTATGATATACTAGTCCAGTTTAAAACATTGGTGAAGAAACACTATCACTATATTAGCTGCTCAGTTACTTGCTCTTAACTGATCTGCATCAGAAAAGTCTGTTCCGAGGAGCCAGTGAACTGTTGGGAGCATCTCTTATGTCCACTTTTATAGTTTTTGTGGAAAACACCAATATAATTGATCTAATGTAGTATCCAATCATTCAGGTACTTCATACACATTAGAGAGAGTGTGCCGAATTTTAACTTAGCATTTGATTTGACCGTTATCTGATTTGTATCCAGTTATTTTGCTTCACTTGGTTTAGCTGATTGTGTAAATTTCTGTGCAACAAAGCACTAAAGTGTTGTCACTCTGTAAGATACAGCACATGTGTTCGTGTACACAGTCTATGATTGGAACTAAAATCTACACAGTGACCTATCTACATACCTTAGCTGCACTTTTGGATATTTGTAGGATCAAATCATAGCTGCTTTCAGAAGCAGGAAACACAACCTTCTCCTTAGTCCTTTGTGCACTGCCTTACACATTTTCTTAACAAATGTTTTCACAAATATTAACCAAACCCAAACAATTAATTATACTTTGCAACTACTTACTGACTACAATCATTGCCTGCCCTTTTGTGGCAAAAAGCTCACTCCTTTGGCACATACAAATTAAAGCTGAATGGATCCGGTGTTTGATCTAAATAATTGGCACATTGATTGGTAATGTAAATGATTGATAGTTGAAGCCCTGGATATAATATGATACAAACATTAGCCGTTTAAGCTTAAACGCATGTATGTTACTAAATGTAAAAAAGGTGAATACCAGCCATCCATTTTTGCAGAGGTATAAAGCTGTATTTCTCCGGACTCCCAAAAAAGCAAAGCAAAACTGTACACAGGAGGAACGCTGATAAACATGAGTAACTCTCAATTTATACTTTCGAAAGTGCAAAACACATTCTGTACCACATTAACAAAATAATATAATATAGTGCCAAATAATAATGCGTAACAGCTAGTCTACTAAGATAACCACTGCATGTTGGGAGGATTCTTAAATTTGTAGCTGTAGGGGATAAAATGGAATGTGTATGGTCTAGTCAAGACACCCATGTGTCTGTTATAAAAAATTATGTTTCACTCTAAAACTATGTGCCATTGAACTGGGCAGCTACTTGATCCCAAAGACAACAATAAATTAGTTAAACTTGGCTAATCTCATGGTATAACATGACATCAAACTGCATGCAAAAACATAAAAAAGACAACCATGAGTTTGTATCACTCCAGGTTAGGTATGGAAATTGTAAATTTCTACAGGACTCACTCGCAGTTGGTTAGTGTGGAGAGAGAAGCATCCATCTTCTCTATAGGAGGAATCTGACCATACAGTTTTATGGCTTTAGCATCGCTCACTTTTTCCCCTGATTTCTCCTCCTGTACACACACACACAGATTACAACAACTAACTTTATACAACTTCCAGTCACGAATTCTACATACTTGTATGAACATAAATAAATTATTTTATTCCACCGTATTGCATGGCATTGTGTCTGTGTTTGCCACTCACCCATTTGGCCAGTGCTTCTCTCACAGTCGTTGCTTTGGCCTGGAGACATTGGATGGCATTTAATTATACAGGTAGAGGCTGGATTATCGCACCACTGTAACATTAAACACGTTTTTTTAAAGCTATAGACTTCGGATATAAATACTGTTTATTAACTTATGTGAACAGCAATTCGATGTAGCTTAACGTTAGTCCTCCTCCTCCCAGTACATGATTTAGCAGTGGGAAAAACGACAAAATAGGCAGACATCCATGCGCGTTTAGTACTGAGTTGATGTTAACCAGCTATTTAACGCTAGGTTACGCTAATTGACATGTAGGGCTAGCTAAATAGCTAATTAGAAGTTAGCCCACCTAGCTCACAGCGACAACAATACTGTAGGTAAGGCCAAATACAGCCTACACACACGAATATACGGAATGTTCGCGTTTGTGGTACAGTTCAGACCGTATATATTATCTAAAAACCGCAAATAGCAACACAAATGAACCGAGAAACACTCACCATGTTGATGGTTGATGTCTGCTCTGGTTGCTATGGCACTGACAGGCAGCCTACAAGCTGCGCCTGCGCAGTGTAAATGCTTGACCCAGTTCAGAAAACAAAATGTAATTGCAGATGAACAAGATTACAATATGTTGCTTTTTATTATTAATGCTTTATTTAGTATTGTATACGTGGCTGTATATGCTGTGAAAGATTCCTCAGCCATTATCAGAAGTGGGTGAAAATTGGATCAAGGGGTGACAATGACAAATGGGCCCCTATTACTCACTAATGTTGAGCCCCGCCTAGGCTAATAGCCTGTCAATTCAAGTAAATTGTATTTATTCCAGTGTCACAAATCAAAAATTTGCTTCAAGGGGCTTTACGGTCTGTACAACATGTGACACCCTTCTATCAGTTAGCCCTCAATTCGATTAGGAAAAACTCATCAAAAAAACATTTAACGGGGGAAAAAAGAAAAAAGGAGCAACAAGGTAACTGTCCACCTTTGTGAATATAGGTGTCATATTGTATTAGAAACAAGTTAGCCTAGTTTTTCAGTGTTTAAATCTGCGACTCCTTACTTATAATATAGAATTTAATATTTTCCTGCAAACCTGACAACTTGAAAGCAAAGACTTCAGACACTGACCATGACTTTCTGTGCCTGCAAACTGAAGAAGGCATATTTCTCATTAGAGATGGGAATTTATGTGATACCCCTTTTTAAAGTATTGCAATATCGCCCTCCAGGGATGAAACTTTAGTACTGCATCAAAGTGTTTGAAACAATACAGACTTTAATGCATTTCTGGGACATCAGCCTTGAAAGTCTTTGACTTGAATCACCTGTGGAGATTCCATTGCAATTTTAACAGTTATTTCAATTAACTCCTGATGTACTCCTGATGTGAAAATACTGTAATTAACTTTATATAAAAGTTGCCTATACAGGAACATGTTTATGGCAATACTTTACTGTATTTTAAAACTGGTTATAGGCAACACATTTCTCCATACTGAGTTCACATTTTCAAAAGTTTTCAGACAGTTCTCTTTACCAACACACAGCTTGGCATAACAGTTAATCAGACTAAATGCACTAATGAAACCACAACACTTCTCAGGAGCACTTTGTCACTCATTAGACATTTAACTAAATGAACACTAACAACAGATAGCATTAGAGTATCACTATTGTCCTAGGATTCAATTACAACAAAAAAGAAAAGCATGGCGTTATTGCCAGGGTTGTGGTGCCTTCATTTTTCTTGCAGCTAGTTAAAACTTAAAACACAGAGAGACTCAGGCACACAGAGTAAGGTACATACACATGATAAAATACACAGAATATCAGTTTGGTGACCTTAGAGATAAATGAATAATTCACCCTGTGAGTAGCTCAAACTCTCCATACAGAGGATAGGGATAAGGGATAAAAACCTTAGAAATTGCTCTCTTACAAAAATTGTGAGACAGATTGGGCAGTTTAACACCAATTATCATACTGGCAACTTTAACTATATGTTGCAACCTGTTCTTGTCACTTATTAAGAGATTACTAAATCAAGTAATTCCAAGTGCAATAAATGAACTAAAGTAATTCCAGTAATGCAATACAAAGCAACACATTTTCACTATAAGTACTTGTATAGGACAGCAGATCTAGAAATAAAACAGTGCTAGTCAACCCCGTCTTCTGCAATTGGCCACAACATCACACCTTATGTCATCTCTTGCAATACACATGGGAAATAACCTTTTTTCATGCCTGATCCATCCCTGGCAATCTTCTGCAATTATGTCCAGACATCCAGCATTCCAAGAGGGACTTTTGATCATGTGGCAAACACCCCCCTCTGTGACAAAATTTCTCTGTAAGATTGAGGAACGAAGAGTAAGGTGGAAGGAAAAGTGACAATATGCTGTGACAGGAAGAGAATGATTAATGCTACATTGTCCCATACAATTATAAAATGTTCCGGATTCTGCCTCACTCGCCCACTTTCCTCAATTGGCGCAAATTTTTCATTGAGTTTATGCAATTTTAGTTTTCTTTTTAGGTGTAGCAGAGTGTAGCGAGCTGCTGTCTATTTTACAATAATTTTGTGTTATTTGAACATTTGCTACAATAGTATGTAAACATGAAAAATGGCTCTTTCCAGGTCTCCATGGTGGCGAGGTCGAGGGGAGGTCATGTGGCGTTCTCATTGATCCATATTCTTCACATGTGTTTACAATCGATCTATAATTTTGTCCTTTCACCCTTATTCTTCTCCCTATACACAGACAGCTGCACCTCTAGTGATCAATCCATCAAGCTTCTGAAGTTTGACACCACCTTCATCTCTGGCAGGGGTGATCATTGAGTCCATCCATCCTCACCTCCTCCGTTACCATCTGGTACGCTGCTGTCACTGCCAAGAACAAGGGCAGACTGCAGCGCATGATTTGCACTGCTGGGAGGGTGATTGGCTGCAATCTGCCATCCCTCCAGGACATCTACGCAACGAGGACCCTGAGTCGCGCAGGAAAGATTATGAAGAAATGTTTTGAAAAACTCCCCTCCAGCATAAGGCTGCATCAAGATCAAAACCTCGTGCCACAAGAACCATTTCTACCCAACTGCAGCCGGCCTCATCAACAAGTCCTGGGATCTCTACTGACACTGACTCTTATCCAGCCCCATGGACACTACAAGTTACATTACATCTGACTCATGCATTACCGCACATTTTTAGATTATTGTCTGTGGTAGAAAAAATTACTTTTAGGTTCAAAATGAACGTGTTTCTGCATTGTCATGGTTAACCGACCCTGACCTTCCAGCTACTTTGCCAAGCATGTGAGGGGGTTCAGACTGTGTGAAAAAGCGAGATTCTGTTATTTAGACTAGGAAGAGCCGTACACACCTTTATTTGTGTTTTCTTGGGTATAATATACAGTGGGAAAGACTGAAGAGAGACTGAACTGAAAGTAAAATTTCTATTCATTATTATCTTTGCACATTGCATGTATTCTTTACACTTTATACTGTGTGTACATATATATTTTACATTTTTTATTTTATTTATGATTCTTGACATTTGCAGTATTTGCTTTTTTGTTTTCATATTCTCTTGCTTATGCACCAAAACACCTAGGCAAGTGCCTTGTATGTGAAAACTTACTTGTAATAAACTTGATTCTGATTCTGATACATTACACTAGGTTTAACTGGGATTGCTTAATTGGCAATATATGCCAAAGATAGCTTTTCACAGTCAGTTATGATAAAATATCCTTCTATGCGGAAGAGTCATTACATCCTGATGATAGCCTGCTAGGAATAGCTCTGACCTTATAAACTGCTGTACTTTATATTCCACAGTAGCCTCACATGTGGCCCTTCATTAAAGCAATAATTCTGACCTAATAAATCAAGTTATTTTGTCCACAAAGAGAGCATCTTTGTTTTATGTCCATTCATTCCTTATCTACTGATAATGATCCTATCATCTATCATCTGAGCTATGGCCCAAAAACACTTGGCTAAAGTTATAACATTTGGGCAGAACTAAAGGAAAACACACACCTATTCACACACAAGTGATGCAATCTTGAATCTGAAATATCAAGAACTGTAACTCTATCTTGCTCATGAGCTCACTGTCAGTTGCAACAGTGGCAATTAAAAAAATAAACTATGGATTGTAATGCAAAGTTTAGGTCTCATAATGCTGTCTCAGAATTTTTTTTCACCAAATAGTAAAATATTTTGTAAATGTAAGAATTCAAATCCACAACTCTGGCTAGCAGAATATGTGAGCTTCCTTTGAAATCTGAATTTTGAACTGCCCTCCTGTCACATAAACATATGCATCCCTCACTGGCTGTCAATGGAAGAAGTGAGCTCATTGCAGTAGGCTGGCCGGCCCTTGCAGGCGGTGTATAGTGTCACTGACCAAAACACACAGCTCATAATACATCCACTGCAACTCTAGAGCTGATGCCTGTCTCAGACACATTGTAGTGTACAGTATCAACATGTTTAGTGATGTAAAAACTGAAGGGAGCGATACTGTCGTCATTTGTCTTTCTGAATTGCCATCATTTTGGGTGCACAGTATTTGTAAGACCATCCAAGGCAAATAATGTTGTCTTAACATTTAACATTTGGTAGATTCTGTCAACATTTGAGACAATCTTATGTTTCTTATCATCATATGATCATTTTCTTCTTTTTATTGATTCCAATCACAGTGTATTGCAAGACTTGCACAATGTCTCTGACAGCTGCTAAATAAGCCCCTGCTCCCCTTCCCTATTTGAACAGTAACTGTAATTAAATGACAAAGAGGATTTAGATGGAGTCACTGAGGAGCTCTTAAAAAGAGAGCTTGAAAATTGAAACCTTAGGTTTAGGTTTGCAGTACACACTATCATCATGTTCTGCTCTAACGATCTCATCCTATATATCCACAGTAAGAGATCAGATACCATCAGTGGTGAATATTTTACAGGAGTCTTCATCCGTTGTTGTTTGGAAGACTGTTGCTCTTGTCAGGTGAATGAAATGCACCAAAGACACAGGGACAATAAAAGACATTCAAGGAATAGTTCGACATTTTGGAGATAGGCTTGTTTGCTCTATTTGATCCAAGATTGAAATGAGACTATGATAGATGTTGATATCAATATCTTGTATGTGTGTTAAGTACAGTGCTGGCTTCAGGACATGGTTAGCCTAGCTAGAGAAACAGCTAACCTGGCTCTATGTACATGAAAAAAATACATATATATACAGTTTATTTAAATACAAAAATCTAGGATACAAAAATATTTAGGATGGGTTACATGCTGGAAGTCATGTGAGGTTGTCAGGTTTGGTACAATTGTTCCTGTAAATAAAACCTGTGTTTACCAACAGCATCTGGCAACTTCTGCTAGAGCCAGAGATGCTTCACAGAAGTGCTGGGAGGATAGATCAGTCGTTGTTTGTCAAGAAACAATGAAAGCACATAACCACATTTAGCCTACAGATTCAACGAACGAGATTCAGCATGTGAATCAATGAGCTCTAGGGGTATGGGTGTGTATGTATTTTTG